GACAGACAGACAGACAGACAGCCAGCCAGCCAGCCAGCCAGCCAGCAGCCAGCCAGCCAGCCAGCCAGCCAGCCAGCCAGCCAGCCAGCCAGCCAGACAGACAGACAGACAGACAGACAGACAGACAGACAGACGTGCTGCGTCCAACTTCCGAATTCAACCTCCCCGCCCTAGACCCCTCTGCCCTCTAAGGCGAAGGAGAACCTCGTCAAGATGATGGGTGCGATTATGGGCCAGATCAGCAAGCTCAGGTCGCTTGTGCGGGAGATGAAGACGAAGTACAAAGACAGTGAGAAGCCCTTTGGATCTATATGGCACGCCTCAGCCGCACAAACCTACATCCGTTGCAAAAACCCAGGACTGTCGCCAGCCTCGATCACCACATCAAGAACCTCGAGGCCCACTACGACCGCTGTCAAGAGGCCAGGCCAAGTTCAAGTCCGATATGAATCTCGATGAAGAGCCTTTCGACATTTGAAGTAGGAGCTTTGGGGCCATCGGCTGCTTGTTGGGATGCTTCAGGTTGAAGGCTGATGTTCGGGGCGATACCTTAAAGCTTGTTTTGTGCATCCAGCAGCACTGAACACATAAAGGCAGGTTTTACACGGCTGCCCAGAAATGCATCGAGGATGCCACGGCGGTGTGCTCAACTTAGAAAACTCATTCACGCAGGAGTACTCGAAACAGTTCTTGTGGTTCCAAACCGAAGCCCCTGAAGTTTATCTAACTCCCGAGCTGCATCCTGCGAGGCGAAGATCAGGACTCAGTCATGTTAACCCTATATAAAGCTAATCCAACTGCTGGTGTTGATCACAGGACAGCCAAGAAGTTCTACGAGAAGCTTTAGGAAGGCAAGGCGAAGCGTAAGGCTGCTCCGAAGGCTTCCCAGAAGACACCCGAGGATACCGAGAAGCCTCGCCCGGCCAAGAAGGCCAAAGCGCCAAAGCCCAAGAAGCAGATCTGAGAGGTTGTAGGCTTGTATGTAAGACCTACATATATGTAAGGCTTTGGGTTTAGCTTTTCAAGCGGAAAGTTTTGGTTGCGCCGAGAACCTCGTGACTTTGAAGGCGGTTAGATCTGTGGATGTTTCCGCAGGTCGACATGCGCCTGTCTTCAGCACCGAACCAGCTTCCGAACAGCTTGCGGAACTAGTTTCCGAACAGCTCCCGGCCTCGATACCCACCAGGCCTCGCAAATTCACTGCAAAGCTTAGCTGACACGCAGGGGGCCGCTGAAGAAATCAGAGCTCTGCTAGCTGCTTCGTTCGTGAGAACACTGCAGCCGCAAACCGAATCATCAGTGTGTGCCAAACACCCTACATATACAAACCCCGTAGAAACCCCTAAACCAATACGACCAGCCAATAAATTCAAAACCCCAAACTCAAGAAGACTGTGAGCCTAAGTTATTTTGGAAAGAAGCCCAAAGCAGATTAGCATCGTAGGAAACATGCCACAACTATACCCACCCAAACAACAAACCCAATTCAGATCCTGTAATCATACCACAAAAGCAGAAATAGGTAACCGAGCCAGATGCCTTAGCCTACCAGCCTATGCCAGGTCCCTCGACCGGGCACCTCGTACGTGGGCTGTCGCAGGACATCGGCAAAGGAGCAGGGGTCCCAGCAACCATCCGCAGCAGTCGCCACAGGCTTTTGCATTGGTTTGATAGCAGAGTGCATGCTGCCTACATGTGTGCAACTCTTGAAGATCTTGTTGCCTTCTTTGAGTCCGGGCTCTCAGAAAGGATGAGGGGCCTTTAAATCCGAAGGTACATAAGTTGCCTCAGTGATGGATGTCGCCACTGCTTCGATTGAAAGCCCGGAGGATGAATCAGGATGAACTGCTAGATCTGTTCACAAGCCACCGCAAGGGTTCCCAAGTACAATGGCAAGCTCTTGCAAGTTATTGTCTTTGCTCATACATGTGAGAGCTCTTGTTTTGTTGCTTCGTGTGAACCAAACAGCCCAGGAAGATGTGCTTCCATTTCCCTGAGCAGCAGCTTCAAGAAGGTTTGTCAGTGATCAGGCCAAAGGCACGCAGCAGAACTCTGCTAAAGACATCAAAAGCCCTGCTGATTCCGACACTACAAGTGTAGCTAGCTCCAGCATCAAGAGCATCGGCAGCACAGATGGACAAGCCTTGGATGACCGAATCAAATACGATCTTCCTGCACCGGGTTCCGTGGCTGGTAAGGTTTTGCTACATGCTATCCGGGTGATGGAAACCTTTTCCGAAAGCACGAGCCGCTGATCTGGAAAGTAGGTTTTACTCACAACCCATCATCGCGGCGATGGGGAAATGAACTATACGGTTATGCTCATGCTCGTGACAAGTGGGCTGGAATGATCGTGCTGTACCGCTCGAATGAGCTGTTTGGTCCGGCTATGCTAGAAGCAGCTTTAATCGAGAAGTTCAGGAGCATCTTGGCTAGAGGACGAGCCCTTTTGTATATGTTGTTGTACGAAACGAATCAATGCAAGCGCTCGTATATTGTATATATATATATATATACATATACATATGGAAATTTCAGGTCAACCTGGGTGCAGGAACATCAGACTCGTGGCGACACGGTTCAAGCTTCACTGTCCGATGCAGACGATCGTTTCATGACATATGTCGTGTACAGATATTTCAAATATCCACCTCCGGCAAGGTATCTGTCGCGAGTCCCGAAAGCAGCGAGTGCATCGGAGGCAGCAAAAACGATTTCGTGTGCATGCAGCTATCCTCTTCTGCAGTATGCCATGCCACTTGAGTGCTTGCTTTTCGAATCATATTTTCCCGAATCCTTGTGTTCGCCGAGGCCCCATGTACGAGAGCCATCAAGACTGCACGGGCAGTCGTGAAGGACCTAGCCTAGGTGAGGAGAGGGCTGGCGAGATAGGTGGGCTGCTCCGGCTTTCGAAGTGCTCGATGAAGAACTCTGAAAGGGGTACTCATTCTTTGCTATCGAGGCGGCCGGGTTTGGCTCTTGATGTACCACTTCGAACAATTTCGGTGACAAGCGAAGAGTCTGATAAAAAAAGAAAAACATTTCAAGATCCAGAGGCTGTTCCGCGTTGACTGGGCTTCCTTTCTGCTGAAGACGAACACGTGGCAAAATCTTTCAGGCCTTTTTTGAAGCCCGATGCCAAAAGAGAAAGATGTCTATGGACTGCATTCTGGAAGGCCTACGAAACTCTGAAACTCTTGAACCTGCTCACCCGATTTATGCGATGGCATGAAGCAACAAGATCGACCTCAGCTGCACGGCGGCTGTTGTCCTACACGACGACGAAGGCCGAGGACGACGACGACAGGCCTTTATGGTATTGTCGTTCCACTCGCAGTTCGGCAGGGGTACGAATAGTGCAAACAAGAAGTCCGTGAAGAAATCTTACTTGAAGATGAAATTGAACTTCAAAGTACACAGCTATTTTTCGAGGATGCTCGCTGGAGCACTTCCGAAGCACACATACCAGCAGAATGACGAGGTGTTCCAGGAATTGTTGAGGGCAACGTGTGAGGATGCTCGCACCATGATTACAGAAGGAGTGCTGGATGACCGAGGAGATCGTACACAATGGCTTGCTTGGGCACAGTGGGCGATTGGCCTTTTTTGCACGGACCTTAAATAATGTCGTGAAACGAGTTGATCAAGTTGCTTCTGGGATTTGTCACTGGTGCGATTGTGGCCCGGATTCTTTGCCTTTTGAACGGTTTTCGACCTGACGACCTGATTGGCTGGTAACTTTGAATGCCACCGAACCTTTTGAGCAACGGCCGCCAGCAGCAATGATTCCGCATCCTCCCAACAAGCTCGCCTCAACTTTCTACTTCGACCTTTTTCACTGCTGGCACCTGGGTGTGGGTCGCAACTTTTCTAGCAGTGCACTTGTTCTCTTGAGCGACTTGCATGATGGCAATATTGACGAACGATTCGATCAAGTGACAACTCAGTACAAGACTGGTGCAGACGAACGAGCCATTCGCCGACCATCAGCCGCATCCATAAGGACAAGTGGGGTTCAACTACCGAGTTACACAAATGGCTTCAGGCATCGTGGCCGAGTTTCCAACCGGGATGTGGTTTAAGGGCGGTGTCACGAGGAACATGTTGCTTTTTTCGAAGATGGCAAAGATTTGGGCGACGAGCCGCTCTTTCAACTCGCGATCCAGGCGGGCCAGGCGACCAATGACTATTTCAAGGTGCTATTTTAATCCGACCTTTGGCTGCATCTCCCGGTCGCCCGCCGAGCTGCTAAGCTTCGGTTCAGATTTCTGCGGAGATACGAAGAATGTGCAAAGCTTTCCTTTCAAGCAAACCGGACTCTGTTTGTATTGCAACCGACACTTGATCCATTGCAGCATACGGCAGCGTCTCTCTGGCACCGGGCCCTTGCAGATTTGCCAGCGATCAATCCTCTTGCCTAAGCTGCGCAGATGTCCGAGGATTTCGTGGGACCCCAGTGTCGCCTAAGTCGCCGAGTGGCCCCGCAGCAGGCGATCAAGAGAGTGCTGCAAAGATATTTGCAGGCGGCCCACTCGCAATGGGTGCAGGATGGGTATCTTGCGGCGATGCCGGCGAGGTGAAAAGAAACATTCGAAGAGATTTGTTCAGATCTTAAGTGTTGGGGCAGGGCATCACAAGCATCAGAACAGCATCACAAGCATCCGAGCGAAGCCGAAATTTGCAAACCCCGGTTCTGGATATCAGACCCTGTGTTTCAGATGCCAACCCCGTGTCTGGTAGGTGTAGGTATGAAATAACACTGGTATAGTCGACTTGAAACTATTTCCAGCTAAAGTAACCTATATTGCACAATAGGATATCTCTCACTAAATACGTAGCCTAACCAGCTAGGTCTTAGAGGTAAATGCGTACCATGCCGTTAGTACTTACGTATACATACGTACATACATGCATACATACGTCACTCAGTACTACATACACACAGCAAGCACTAAACATGAAGCACACCCCGAAGTTGGAAGCCGACATCCCGAATGCAATCATAGCGAAGTGTCCTCCAGTTGAGAATGTTTACCAGCACGTAGCCAATCGAGAGCAAGGCGTCGGAAGCCTTGCACATTCAGCACCAAAGTCGCGGGAAGCCGAATTCTCTCTCCCATGCTTTGGACAGTCTGGAGAAGGCTGCGCAATCCTGCTGGCACAAAGTGAAGCGCTTGTTCTTCAGGAGGTGTTGCAGACCTCCAGACCAGCGCCTTGGCCTTCAGCTTGTCGATAAACTCAGAGACACAGCTCACGATGCCATCGCGCTGTTTCTTGGACAGCCTTTGTCGAGTCAGTAGAAAAATCCATGCGGAGGACTCTGCCACCAAAACGCTCGCATCCTGGATTTCAAGTGCCTGACACCCTCTCCGCACCGCGTTTGCCAACCGGCGAGCCTCCGAGTCAATGCATGGCGTACTCTGCGAGGACACAGCAAATGGAAACCACGAGCAACCAGCTGTGGCTTCTTTGCATGCAGTTCTCAGGTCGTCCACGCTCATGTGTGAATATGCTCTTCCTAGGCTCAAACCAACAGTTTTTTGAAAGCGCAGCTTGTGAGTCAGTTCTGTTACCTACCAGTTGGCTCGCACATCTTCCAACCTCTACACAACATTACACAAAAGCACCTTACTTTTTCGAGTGAGGTCTCCCAGCTCGTCAAGCATTTGTCTCACAACCAAGTGATCCACGGTCTCTACACGGCAGATGTCCAATACATGCTCCAGCACCGTGAAAGGGATGTTGTGAAGTGCTTCACGCACTGTGCAATCGTCTGTCTCATCTTCTGAGCTTGGAAACCTGAAATCCGGTGTTTCGTAGGTCTCAGCACCCAATCCTGAGCTACCATTACCGACTGTGTCATCGCCAGTAAGACTGCAAAGAGACGCGTGGAACTGCTGGAGTGTGGCCGAAGTCAAGATTTCCACCAACGGAGTCCCAAGTTGTAGCTTCCACGGCTTGTGCCGACACAGCTTCTGCACAATTATCACTGCCATGTCTCTGGCCATCTCATAGCTTGAATGCTTCTCTCGCAGGTATTCGTGAAGCAATACTCGCAGGTGGTGCCTGAATAATCCCCCACCATGCAAGTCTGCAGCATCCAAACGCAGAGCTGCAGGCATTCTCCCACCTTGAAGCAAAGGCATTAGAGCTGCAGCTTCCGTCTTTTGAAGATCAACCTCCCCAAGTGTCATAAAGCCTGCCTCACTCTGCAAGCTGCTGAGCAAATATTGCACATATTGAGGTCTCTGACGAAGCAAAAAACACAGAGATTCAGCAAAAGTGCAAGTATCCTCCATGCTTTGACCTCGCTGACAGGCCCAGGCATGGATGTACGTATTCGTTTCATGTGCCTGGTGAAAGTTCATGTCGTAGGAGTCGTCGTTGATTTTAGTGGCAAGGTCTTCCAATCCGGTGTCGATCAACTGTCTAGTCTCTGGCCTGCACGCTGCAGAAATGGTCAGAACGCCTATTGAACTGCACTCGCACTCATCCACTACTCTGGCCACCAGATCTTCTAAGTAGAAGCTGTCTTCCAAATGCTGCAGTCCACGAGGACACACCAGTGTATAGCCATACGGGCCACAAGCGCCGTGACCTCCGAAATAGACCAGTAAGTTCGAGTTCTTGCGCAGCTTCATAGCTGCGCTCATGAGCGCAGTCTTAACAGTGGCCTGGGTGCAAGGCTCGAGGGCATCTGTAACTCTGAACACCCGGTCGCTGCAAAGGCCCACATCGCGTGCTGTCTTAGCTACTAGCAGTGCATCGGGTATAGGGCTTTCGAGGCGATCATCCTCGTTGCGGCCAACGCTGACACCAATGACTACACTTTCCCAGTGCACTTGGCCAGAAGCTGCTGTGGCACTCTCCATGGCGGAGGTTCCCTGTTGAAATATCAGGAAACCCAGGGAGCCTCATCAATCCTCAGCAACCAGAAGGTCTCTGAAACTTGCCGGGGAAGGATCAACTGAGGGGCGTAGGGGCGAAGTCTTCCTAAGGAAGGGCCTCAAGTCCTGGGCCCTAGAGGCATGCGCGACATCAGTTCTTAGCAGAAGGATCTTGAGCCTTCCGGAGAAGCCGCCCCTGACTGAACTCGCTTGAAGAAGTCCTCAACCCCTGAAACCATGAAGCCTAAGTAGCTGTTGTTGTGGGTCTTCGGATTTGGGGCTGTCTAAACTGAGGGTGACTTCTTGAGTTACACCAGACATTACTTGATTGGAAACTTGGACAAGACTGAGCTGGTCGATAGACGCTGCCTTTACCCCACGAGGAGCATCATAACGACAATGCACATCACAGGCATGACTGAAAAGGAACAACTAATAACCACCTTGGCAGCAGTTGTGGTGTGCTGCTTTCTACTAACACATGATTCTGGAAGCGGGTCATAAATCCGTACTTCGACCTTCGAGCAGAAAAAATAGTAGAAAACCAGAACACATTCCCACACCCTGTCATCAGTTCGAAATCTGGGGGCGCAGCTCCCACCAACCGCTAGGCCTGCTCACGGTGCAAGGACGGAGGTCCACTTGCGAGTTCTCCTTTGCATCGTTACGAGAACTCTGCGTACTGTGCGTTCGTCACACTCCAAGTGCTCTCAACACGGCTGAATCTTCACTTACGAGTACTGGTCATGGTTGCTGTTCGCATGATGACCACTCCGAATACTCACACAATAGGGGTCGTCGTGGTCTGAGCATCAGAGGCAGCAATAGTCGTTTTTGTAGTCTTACTCATAATTACAGGTAATAGCAGTAATAATCAGTACTGTACTGTGCCGTCTGCAGACAGAAACAGACTGCGGGCTTTGCACCATGCTCCCCTTTTAAACTTCCTAGCCTTACATCTCAAGCCCTGGACCTCGTGAGCTCAACATCCGTGAACGCCTAGCAAGCAAAACCCAAACCCTCAAGTCCCTTGAACTCAACATATACCGCAAGCCGCAAAACCCGAAATCTTATACGTAATGCGAGAAAGATCGACTCCGGACCTGAAAACCCCCAACCCCTGGATGCCCTCATGCCATCGAACCCCAAACCCAAAGCCAAACCAGATAGCCCTACGGGGCCCTACCTGACCGAAGCCGAACTTCGAGCCAAACGGACGATCATCCGACCCTCTAGTTCCACATAGTCTTGTGCTATGAGAGACACTTCCCATGAAAAGACCCTCCTGAGGGATTTGCCACTCGTATGTAAAACATGAAACGCTTATCTAAGGGACCCAGAAATCACATAAGCATAAGCCTTTATAGGGATACCTTATATTATTGGGGTTCTTTACAAGGGGGTTTATATGGGATATCCCGATCACCATTTTTGCTTATGTGCTTTGGGGGGGGCTCTATTATCAGCAGTTGCAGCAGGGCATCCGAAGCTAAAGGATACGAGAGAGCTCCACATCAGAAAGAGTCACGGCTTCATCTGGAGATCCAGAAAGAGTCCCCTAAACCCAACCCCCTAAACTCCTACATCCCTAAACACCAAACCCCTAAATCATAAACCCCTAAACCCCTGAACCCCTAAATACTAAGCTCCAAACCCCAAAACCCTAAACCGCGGAGCCCTGCTTAGGAATAGAGATTGCAAGAAGCTCTGAGCCCGGTGCTTCTCTAAGTCGGCAGCAGGACCTGGGACACAACGACTGCATTGCTACGACGCTGCGGCAAAACATCGAAATCTTATGCCTGCAAGCGAATGACTACGACTGAAAGTGCCATGATAAGGATCGCGAGTGCCTGTATGGTACCGATTATTGGTCGGCGAGCTATCATATGTGCGACCGCGACAAATTCCAGCTTTCGTCAGGAGAAGGATCTGCGAGTTTCTATGCCGCTTACAAGTCCTGTTCGGCTTTGGGGTTGTGAGGGGCTCCTAGAGAAGCCATAATGACACAAAAGCAGCAGATTAACTTACGCAGTTGTACATGGTCCTTTGTACTTCGTGCTTGTTCACGGTGCGTCTTGCTGGTTCTTCCACGTGGGGTCCTAGGGCCAGATATTGGTGATATCATCCGAAAGAGACGGTCTGAGATCTTTGCGACTAACGGAAAGGCCTAAGGATTGTGGATGGGGGGACCCCAAGCATTCGAAACATTAAGATCTATGCTTGGGCATATAGCTGCCCTGTCATCCCCAATGAAAGCCCCTCAGCTTGTCCTGAATTGCAATCGACAACTTCATGTTCAGGTCGCGGCTCTCTTGCCTCTGCGTAGACCACTTGACCACCTCGGCTTTGAGGGTTGTGGGTATGCTTACACTCTGTCCCATCTATCAACCCCCGAAAAATTGAAACCACCAAGGACCATAACTGAAAATATTGAAAACCCTTGGAACATACTCATACGAGTCCTTATGAACCCTGGAAGGAACGGCTCAAACTCGGGGGCCTTAAGCGCTTCAGTATTGTGTCAGCCTTGCATCATGAGAGACAAATAGTACGGAGTCAGCCTCAGGCTCGGGGATGCTTTAGCCAGTGCTGAGGGAGATCCTCAATGAGTGTATCGGTTCTTCGGCGACTGGGAGACTCTCCGCCGAAAGAACAGAACCCCAAACTTGAGGGTACCACACCGACATGGTTGAAGCCTCTGAACCAATCAACCCATCAAGACGCACTCTGCTACCGCATCCCCTGGCCTGGAAGGTGATGTCCACCTCCTTGATCTCAACTTCAACCAATGCCTGGCAACAGGCTTTGCATGTTATCATTTGGGTATGTTTTCTTCTCCGGGACGTGGAGTACGAAGGGTGAGTGCAGGATTGCGTGTGCGGACAAGTGCTGTTCCCGCGAGTCTAGCAAGAAACACACAGGGCCCATACCGCCTACAAAACCAACAGATTGTGACAGCGGCAAGGAGGAGACTCAGGCTTACACGCAGCTGGAAACATGTTGATCGTCATAACAGTGCGAGTAGTAGCACTCTAAAGAGCCTTCATCATCACACAATGAACTGACACCTCGTTGGCAGCTCATTCGGAAAACCCATGCGGGGAATGACTTTGAAACCCTCAGCCTAGAAACCTGATTCAGCTGCAAACGACACCTCGACGAAAAAAGACTTGAGAAGGCGTCCAGTAGCTCCCAAAGGGTCCAAGTACCATTATAGTAGGTACTTGCTTAAAGGATCATGGGACTTAGTAACTATAGGGTTATAATTAGGGTATGTCTACTTATAACTACTTATAACTCCAATTAAGGTACTGATCACCTTACTTACTAAGTCCGATGATCCTCCAAGCAGTAGGTATTTGGGCCCCAAAGTATATACTATACTAGTACTTGGACCCTTTGGGGCTTGCATGGAACGTAGGATAGTTCCTTCGATGTGTCCCTCGCCTGTCGTATGGGTTGCATACGCATCTACCTACATACTGTTGATGATACAATGGACCCTATATGGGAATTATGGTATATTCCCTTATCATGGATAATGCAGGATTTATATATATATATATATATATACATATCATCAACCGTACAAGCCTCCATGCAACCTACACCCAACATGCTCAAGTGCAGGTGCAGTAGGTAATTCGGCCCGGAATTTCTACCAGTCGACCAGTACTACATATGTACATACTTCGACCTTTTGGGACACATATGAGTATGTGCACTGTTGAAGAAGATCTCTTGAGGTGATTGCAAAGCTTCCCTCAACCCTGAACCCGAATTCCTGAACCCCAACATGCAAACCCTGTACCTATAAACCTGAAACCCAGCATTGATCCTCCTAATCCCTCAACCCTACAGTATTGCCCTGAACCTCGGGCTCTCTTTTTGTCTAAGCGTGGCTTCGCCGCCAGCTGTGGCTTTTGACCAGCCGCGTTCCTCGCGTTGCAGAAGGCGCCAGTATCGGACGTTTGTAGCTAGAATCGAGCTCTGTTTAAAGGTTCCTTGCGAGATCTCTTTTAAATTTTCGATGTTCTAGAAGGGGTTGCTGTACGGGGCACTATCGGGGTTCAGTATGTAGGAGCCTCGAGCAGTAGCATTGAGTTTCCGGGTAAAAACATATACTCCTGGTTACAAGCTGCATAAGGGTTGTCAGGAATACTTCTGCTCTTAAGTTGGAGTCCATAGCAGAGCATTAGAGGCTTATATTAGTGTGGGAAAAGCGGAACACCACACACTAAGTGCGCAGACCTTCCACAGCCTCCTCTCTTTCCATCTGCGAACGTGTCGACATGGAATATGTACATTGCAGATGTATATAGGTGTATAATGAAGCCAAACTAGCATCCTAGATTACAAGTCTGATTGGAGAACAAATCACAAGCTGACATCCTGAATCACAGCCGCTCCAAGCCCAGAACTCATGAACATCAAACCTCGCAAAGATTGCACCCCGAAGCTCCACCTTCAAACCTGAAGTGGCTAAAGCAACGCTACGAATCTGCAGCGCCACGAATCTGCAGCGCCAACCTACGAGACGGATTGAGGGTTTACGGTTTCTGGCAGATCCATGCGACACCAATCGCAAATGATGACACGATAACCAACCTGAGCCCACTCCCCAACACACACAGGCTTCGATGTCCTGTCCGGTGCCAAACGACCTGTCACTGGGAGAGGGCGTCTAAACACGAAATCCAACAACGCCACCCTCAATCCAGGAAGCGGGGTGAGCACTCAAGGCAGAGTCCTGATGCCACAGCCAGATCAGAACAAAACAAAAAAACAGAAAGCTGGGTGCCTTCGGATTCGAGTCCCCTGCTTCGGCTTTGAATTTTACCGTTTCTTGAAGGTTGGTCGTCCAACACAAGCTAATTGCTTACAAGCTCAAGACCCGAGGACTTAGGTTCCGAAAAGCCGCTGCCTCGCGGGGTCAAAACACTCTCAGAAGGGGGCCGCCACGATGCTACCGGCTCTATAAATGC